CCGGCTGCAGAGCTCAAAGAGCCCATTGCTGATCCTTTTCCCCAATCTGACATGAAACTGGGAGAATAAACGCTGCGTGTGAGGCAGGACAGATGTGGACAGAACTGTAACACTGCTCCATGTCTGTGTGACTGTGTGCAGGCGTAGAAAAGAAGCATGTAAGACACACCCCACGGCAGTGCTGTTTCTGGGCGACTGTCCACCCACAGTGTGCACCACCCTCTGTGCTTCTCCTCATTTCCACAGGTTTCTGTAGTTTGATGTCATAACCAAGGATTCATCTTTTCATTCTGTCCCTTTACAGAATGAAAAGATGAATCCTTGGTTATCCTTGGGTCACTGTTGCACACAAATCACGAAAGCAGCCACTGACAACCCGTCACGTACTACAGCTCGTGTCACTGCCCCCTGACATCAGCATCACCCGTGGATGCATGGTTTCCACTCCACGGTGTTTCTCGTGCTGTTGTGAACACTGGTCCGTGACTGCAGCGTGGGCTGGCTGTGTGCCCTCGTGCAGCAGCGCGGGGAGTCCTCTCAGCTCTGGCTGAGCGCTCACATGCAGTACCGCCCCTGACCGCAGGGGGCGCTGTGTGCTGATCGCCGGGGTTCCTTCTGGAAAAGCTCCGTCGGCGTTAAAGCTTCCGAGGAGCGTCCGTCCTGCGAGCCGAGGTGCAGGTGGTGGTCCCGGGTTATGCATGTCAGATAGCAGCGGTAACAACGCACAGGCTCCGCCTTCTGTGAGAAGGTCTGAAGATGTCTGCCGCCGTGGACTTCCACTCTCAGATCGCCTCCATCATGGAGGTGCTGGCTAACGCGGCCGTGGCGGAAATCTGTAAAGTTGTGGACGATGGGTACGCGGTGGTTCACCTGGAGATGTCCCGGAGCCAGAAGGAGAACGAGTTCCTGAGGAGGAAAATCAAGCTGCTGGAGCTGCAGATCGCCCGGTACCGAGCGGAGAGGGTGAGGGGGGCAGACGGCTCCATCAGCAGCCGCTTCCCCGGGGTCCGCCTCTTCAGCCGGCAGAGCAGGGACTCGCAGGCGGGTAGGTAGCACCGGCACCGGGGGGTGAAGCGTTACCGTCGTAGGACAGGCTGGACACGGCGCGGAGGGAGGGCAGTGTGCCGTGACTCAGCGTGACACAGTCCACTCGGTGATTTCGTGTTTGACCACGGCCGCGGGCCTGTCCGGTGTAGCGTCCTCCTCTGGTGGACTCGAGTGTCAACGCCACGGGCTGCTTATATCCAGGCTCACTCATATGTTTGCAGCTCCACTGTTTCCGTGGGCTGATTACCTGCTTTAAAAGCCTCGTGTAGTCCATACACACCGCTGACCTCTGACCTCTGTGCCTGAGTCAGCGATTAGTTGGCTGCCACTGGAGGAGAAAAGTGTCTTCGTGTCATTTACAGCCGTAAATCTGTAAATATGTGTTCAGCTGCTCAGTAACAAACCCACACTGACCCTGGGTCCCCTCATGTGACCACTCACACTGGTTATTGTACCAGCAGCTGATTGGTTGGTCCAGTTAGAGCACTCAGAGTGGGGCGGAGCTGCTGTAGCCTCAGTGCTGGTTTGACTGTCAGTGACAAACACAACAGAGGTTAAACTACGCTGTAAAACTGTTTGCAGCCAACAGAAAACAACGTTTCCTTTAAGAATCGATATCAGACGTTAGAGCAGGCGTCCAGAGTCCCAGTCCACGAGGGCCGGTGTCCTGCAGGTTTTAGATCCACCCTGGATCACATGATCAGCTCATTACAGGCCTCTGGAGAACTGAAGACATGTTGAGGAGTCATTTATCCCTTTAAATCAGCTGTGGTGGATCATCTAAAACCTGCAGGGACACCGGCCCTCGAGGACTGGGACTGGGGACCCCTGCGTTAGACTGTCACAGGGATCT